GCCTCCCCCTGCCCTTCCCTTCTGTCCGTTCAGACACGGAGCCGAAAGGTTTCGGCGCGCAAAGGCCTGAGGTGCCGGTGCCCGCGCTGCGGCGTAGCCGGCCGCCGGCCCCTCGGGGACGGGCAGCGGGCAGGGCCGCGGGACGCAGCTTTCCGTCAGGGCTGACTTTCTTCAAAAGCCGGAGCCGGGCTCGGGTCCGGAGGGGTGGCAGCGGAGGGCCCCGCCCGGCACAGGCGGCCGGAGGCGGCGGGGGGGCGGCGGGCGCTCTCCTGAGCGGCGGGAGTGAGGAACGCGGAGCCGCTGCTTCTTCTGGGCGAGACGGCGCCAGCGGGCTGGGCGTAAAGGGTGGCGAACGCGGGGTTTTGCTCGTATGGTCAGAAGCACGGGTGGGTCATCGCCCTGCGGCCGGGGAGTTCCGCCTCGGCTGCGGGGAGCGGTGCTGCTGCTGAGCGCCGGCTGTTCCGTCCGGGCTGGCCGTCTTTAACGAGAGAACGGGTAGAGTCGGTCTGACGGAGGAGAGCTGCCTTCGGACAGGCGAGCCGTGACCTAGCATTTGTACAGGCTTTTTCAAAGCCGCGAGGTTAAGCGGGTCAAAAAAAGAAACCAAAAGATGGAGGAACAGAGAAGGCAGAGGAAGGGAGCCCGAACTGAAGAACTGGAGATGGAGAAGTGGGATGGAGCTTGAAACTAGTCCGTCAAAAAGAAGGAAGGAGTAAAAACCAAAGTGAGCAAGACCCTTGAGAAATGTCCTAAAATGCACAGGCGGTGGAATCTTTGTTTCACGGTTACCGTAATCTTTACGCTCTGTGATACAAAATCTCACAGGACCGGGAGTTAGTGGCAACTAATTAAATTCTCGAAATAGATGTCTGCTTCGCTTTCAACACACTTTTAATAGCATAAAAAAAAAGTGAAATTGTATAGACGTGTAAGCTACATTAAAGCAAAGTTACCTTAAATTTAATTTTGAGATGCATAAGTTACTGACTAACCAAGCTGTAAAAGGAGATATTAGGCAAAGTTGAAATCTACAAAAAAAAAGTGGGTAAAATAAACTAGCATAGGCTTAGATGAAATGACAAAATCAGGTTCTGGTCTTGTTTGTGTTGGTTTTGTAGTCCACTTTCCTTCCTTGTAGTCCGTGTTGATTAGTATTTATGAATTGAGCTCATAATACCAACCTAAAGATAACCAATGGTCTGTGTAATGTGTTGCAGATTATTCAGTAAATGCATCTTTTTGCAAAATTCAACTCTTACCATATTTTGGGAATTTTAGAGTAAAAACTGCTAGGAAATAATAGTAAGCGATCTATACAGATGAGTGGAAAGGTAAATGATATTTAATTGTAATTAGGTGATACATACGATATAGCTGTGAAATTAAGTGCTATTCACACTTGCAAACTGTTGCAATAAAACATGATATTTAACCCTTCCTACAAGTTCGCGACTGAAGAGATCCATTATCTCTCATATAAAAATGTTATGTCTTATCATCATATGTCTGGATGAGTGTTACTGTTGGACTTGAATTATTTCCTGTATATAAATAAAAGTTACTTCTTGAAAAGAAAAACTGTTTAAGAACTTTTAGTCTGAAACTGGTTTGGGTTTTTTTTTTGTGAGCCTTCATTTCTTGATATAGCTGTATTTTTATTTGCATATAGTAGCACTAAAAGACTTCCAACAAGCTTGATGCCTCATAAAACTGGTTGTTAGAAGTAGTAAGATACAGTCCCTACCCTGAAGCATTTATAGTCTAAATGACACAAGGAAATGTGGTGAATTATGGTCTTGGTTCAAACTGTCTTTTTTGGATGTATTCTGAGTATATATTATAAATGATACTGTATTGATTTGTTGTGCTTCTGTCCTCATTGTCTTCTGCCTTGAAGCCAAAATTGCCAAAATATGCAATACATACTTTATACTTTACTTTTTTTAAATTTTTACTTTACAACTTTGGAAAGAGATTTTAGGTAAAATTAATTTCTTAGACAAAACTGCTGGAAAATAGCAGTCCTCTTGAAATGGTGCTTTCTGTGGAATTTGGAGGAGCTGAAAATTATATAAAATGTAATTACAAAAATGTGTATAACTCTCACAGCATTTAATTTTCTTAGATCTTGCACATCTAGGT